AGAATACAGGAAGTCCAAATAATCCATCAATTCTTTAACATATTCACAGTGATTGATCAAGCCAATTACCTCGCTATCAATGGAATTTCGAATCTGCAAGAATAAGCGAGCATCATCTTTAAGCCAAGTTTGTCTTGAATCATCGTTAGGAGGACTGTCAGTCAAATGAGCATTTTTGTCAATATTCCGTAGTTAAAGTCGAACAGTCTTACTTCAATCCAAATAATTCGAGCCGTTGAGCTTATGGTCCGTAATTTTAGACATTACTGGAATGACATCCGTCACAATTAAATTCTTTTGATCGTCGGCCATAGAAATAAATTCCAAGATAAAAAAAAAATAGCCCACAAAGTAACACAGTGCAGCCCACTCAAACCAAGCCTACAAAATACACCAACAAAACACACACTGCAGCCCACATCAATCCACTCTCACTGCCCAAATCGAAGAACCCAGATGACGAGAGGCGGCAATTGCTTCGACCAATCTCATCGGAGGCGGCGAATTGACAGATTCAGACTATAATTGCTCAAACGGCGACACCAGAATCGAACTCATCGGATGCGATGAATTCCTTGGACCAGACGGCGATACTGGAACCTCAAACAGGGACGGGAACTCACAGTTTGACACTGCGATCCCATGATGCACACCTGAACTGCGAACCCTACGAACGGCGACAGGAACCCACGATGCCACTACCCGAATTCCAAACGGCGACGGGAACCCACGATGCCACTACCCGAATCCCAAACGGCGACAGGAACCCAAGATTACGGCCACAGGTTCGAAGAATTGAACCCTATTGCTCTGATACCATATAAAATAGAAGGATTCTTATATACTTTATTCATTTGAGAAACGATACATATATATATATACAAAGCTTAGGAAACTATTTTAAGAAATTGCACAAATTAGGAAAACCTAGATTTAGGGTAATTAGCCAACTAATATACCCTTTAACATAATAAAATAGGTTTTGACTAGGGTTGTATTGGAAGCACATTCTGGGGATTTGCTGAAAGTGAAGAAGCAGATAAATAAAGAGTTAACCTGATCACTACGGAATGCTAGTAAACCTTTCTTTTATTCTTTCTTTTCTGTATTTTTCTTTCTTATCGGTCATATTGATTTTTTTCAATCGAAAAGTCCTCAATTTCAATTATAAAAAAATAGGTGCTTACCTGTAAATCCCAGAATAAGGTTATTGTTCCCCTTAACTCTTATTAGTTATATCTTTTGATGTTCAATTCCTTTTCATTGTTAAAGGGAAGTGGGTTATGACTGTATTTGTACTGGAGTCATGGTCTAGGCGGGCAGCCTATGGTGTTCTGCATGATCCAGAAATGCAGTATATAGTAATAATTGATTTCTTCAGCCTTTTATGCTTTTAAGTGTCAGTTTTGGCCTGTTTTGCCCTTCCATTCAATTTGCCCTATAATTATAGTGCAGCGCCTTTCTGTGATATGCTTCACTTCAGTATGAATGTCAAAAATCGTAATTGGAAAATATGTCGATTTGGGCCCCATTCCCCCCTCAAAATGCATTTTGGAATAGTATTTTGATGAAGAATATGTAGTAAAAAAGTAAGAAAAAGTTTGGGTTTGCGTGTAATAATGTTTTATTGAAGAATGTGTGGTTGAAAATTAGAGACATGAAAATGTATTTTGAAAATAATGGGGGCCAAACAAGGGCTAAATTTCTACTGATGAGTTATTCAATTGAACCTCCCATTTTGGATTTGTATTTACATTTTCTGTATCTTGGTTTTAATTTCTTAAGTGCTGTGAATTTCAGTTAATAATGGATCTTTAACAGAACATACTTCTTATCATGGTTTCTAACATGTGAATATAATGCTTTTTGTGCGATGAAGGTCTAATTTACTGCAATTAACTATGCTTCTTTACACCTAAAGCATGCTTATTAATGTGGCATATTCTAAAGCCTGCTCAAATAATTAGAGTTGAGAGTAATGTGGGAATACGGATAAATTGATGTGACTTCTGCTGATGTAATCCTTCTTGCTTGCAAACCTAGGCACTGCAATTCATCCACCTCGTTCAGATAAACTAGAGGAGTATGATTTTGGGCCAGAAGATCTTCGGAGCTTAATTGAAGCTGTTGATGGATTCTCTCTTATGACTTGTGACTTCTCAGGGCCTCAAAATCCCTGTCCAAATGCACCTTCGAATTGGATTCGCTACACCTTGCAGCTTCTCCATGACGGCACTGCCAGTGATCGTAAGAAGCTCGACAAAAAGATTTTTGTCGGCATCATCTTTTGTGGGAATGATTTCATTGTTTCTGGAGGTACGTACCATGTAACTTGGAAGACGAGTTCTTTATTTATTTATTTTGAAATGCTTTTATTTGCTGGTTTAGGTGGTGGACCTATCCTTGGAACGGATTAGTTGTCTTTGTTAGAATGACATAGGCCTGCTTTACGTTGGGTGGAGACGAGTGCCAAACATTTCTTTGCGTATTCTGATAATCAAAATGTCAAGCATGTCATATTCTACCCATCATTTAAATCAATTTCAATGTGGCTTGAAGAGGCTCTTTCTTGGGGGGCTGGTATCGCTATCTGGGAAATTGGAAAAGGTCTGGATTAATATCTTGACATATTGTGATAAATGCTTGTCCTTGCTCTTATTGTTGTTTGCCCATCCATACTCTTCTTCAAAAATGAATCAATGATGGATAAATTTTGACCGAGGCATAAGTTTTTCGATTTGTAACAATATAGGGTACGATGGAAACATTTTTTCAAATTTATTCTCAAATTTTTTGAGGTGTTTTGCTTTTCTTTTCTTTTTTCGCATTTACCTCAATAAACACGTGAATAATATATAGCTGAAGGATCCATGGTTAATTATCTCCTTCTGGCACTGTGAAAGGTACTTTAAAAGTTACTTAAACTTCTGCTTAGCCACACACACTGAGCTACTTCCAGCATAATTGTCACCCAACTTCCTGCCGGAATGCCAATTGTATATCGTTTATCTATCAAGTTGTGAAAGATGTTCTACAGGCTCGACCGCACTGTGATATAGGCGTAATGAATTGGGTGCACGATTGCTATGCAATAACAAATAATAAAATGAATAAGCCACCATTTGGCAAACGTTTAAATGGTTTATAAAGAGGAATAATAGGAAGAATAGTAGTGACTTTTATCTTTCATGAACTGTGTGGATTTGTTTTGAGCACCATTTTTTGACAAAAATGTCTTTTGGAATATTGATTTGACGAAGAATATGTGGTTAAAAAATAAAGATAACTTTTGGATTTGCAAGTAATATTATTTTATTTAAAAATGTACGATTAAAAATAAAAGAGAGCGTATTTTGAAAATAATT